ATATATATATATATATTATATATATATATATATATATATATATATATATATATACACATACCTCCTCCACGGTATTAAGATTTAAACGAGATCTTCCTTTACCTTTGTGCGTTAAAAGACTCGCGTCACGTTTCGAAGCCACTTGCTATTCTCTCTCTACCTCTCTGGCGCACATGTATACGCGTGCATACATACATAGCGCGGGCGCGCCGACCGCTACCCAGTTCGTGTCGTCCGTTAGCACGTGTAACCGAGAGTTACTCGAAAGTTTGTTCGGCGCGATGGAGTAGAGCGAATGAAAAGAAGGGAAAAGCGAACGAACGAAAGAGAGAGAGAGAGAGAGGGAGGGGGGAACGTGGTCGTTGGCGCGAAAGGGGAATCGAAAATGGAAAAAAAAAAAAAAAGGCTTGGCAAATTAGAGAGGAGCACATTGGACGTTTTTTTTCGGGACGAGGAAAAGTGGAAGCGTTTTAGGTGTTTAGCGCGGCTGATAGGGGCGGGTAAGGCGATGGAGCCGAAGGAGTTTGGCGATGAACGTAAGAGAATGAAAGGGGCTGGTGGTAAGGTAGGACACGGGGGCGCGAGGAGGTGAACGGTGGACGAGAGGGGAATAGGGCAAGTAGAAAGGACGAGGGTGTCCGCGGGGGCGGATGAAAGGACGCTTACCAGCTACTACCTATTGATCGCCAATTCTTTTTCTCTTGTTGCATATTAGGCGCACTCTGCCTCCTCTCTCTCTCTCTCTCTCTCTCTCTCGGCGGCGGTACGCTCTCCACCCCCTTGCCGGCGTAGAACGCGCGAATCCGCCCCTATAGCTACCCTCCGACCACCCTGCGCGCCTCTTCCTCTTCCTCCGCCGCCGCCACCCTCCCTCCCCCCCTCCTACCCTCCCTCCCCATATCGCGTCACCGCGCGAGAGTGCGAGTCTCCCCTACCACCACCACCACCACCACCACTACCACTACCACCACCGCCACCACCACCACTACCACCTTTTCCTACCTACACACCATCGGCCAACCTCGCGTTCTTCTTACCGGCAATGTTTCATTTCGAGTAGCGGCACCCTTTCCGTTTCGGGGTGGGGCCACCACCCATCGCGTCTTACACGCAGGTGTCGCGCCAATGCTTTCGATGCGATATCAACGCCTCTCCCCTTTGCCACCCCGTCTCTCCCCTCATCCTCCTCCTCCTCCTCCTCCTCCTGCTCCTCTCGTAGGAACGACCGATGCGCGCCGCGACGCGATCCAGCACCGCGACGCGAGATCCGTCCATCGATCCGATCGATCGATCGATCTATCGATCCCTCGATCCATCGATCACGATATATCAACTATATATCATATATATATATACACGATGTAGTGGGGGAAAGAAAGAGTAAATGTGACGAAGGAATTTTTTGAAATTTGTGTTTCAGATAGAGAGAGAAACGAGTTGGATCGAGTGCTAGTTGGCAGGAAAGGTGGACGGGCGAAGGGATCGGAGGGGTGAGCGCGTGAAAGGCGAAATCGGTGGAAGCGAAAGAAAGCCGAAAGAGGAAGCCGAAGAAGCGTAGAAGAAGAAGAAGAGGAGGAGGAAGGAAGGAAGGAAGAAGAGGAAGAGGAAGAGGCAGGACTTGCCGGCGGCGACAGACTGCACTCTCGCACCACCGTTCAGGGCGCAAGCGTGCACGTATGTTGTGCGTTTCCGTGCCCTAACCCTGTCTCAACACGACCAGAGAGTCGTCGTTTCTCGGCGTTCTCATCCCTACTCCACCACCAACATCGCCGCCGTTGCCGCCACCGTTATCGCCACCGCCACCGCCGCCGTTACCGCTACCGCTACCGCCACCGTCACCGACGCTACTATCGGCTCACCATCCCTCCAACGTTCAACGCGTTCAACAAGCACCACCGCCATAGCCGACGTAACGACGACGACGACGAGGACGACGACGACGACGACAACGAAGACGAAGAAGAAGAAGGCCGAGAAGACGAGAAGAACGAAGAAGGCGACCACGACAACCACCACCACCATCACCACCACCACCACCACCACCGCCACCATCACCACCACCACCACAGCCACGACCACCTCCTCTACGACCACCACCACTAGCAACGCCGCCGCCGCCGCCGCCACCGCCAACGTGAACGATAGAGGGAGAAGGAGGACGATACCGATCACGAGGACGATCGCGAACACGATCGTCGTCCACCTTCCATCGCCATCGTCGCCCTTTCACGATTTTGCCCGCTCTTGGCGCGCGTTACGCCACGCGTGACGTACCACGCTCTCTGCTCCGGCACGCGCGTTAAAATCTTATTGTATCGTTTGTTCCTCGCGTTCGCGTTGAACAAAGATCGTCGAACCACGAAACCACGAACGAGCGGAAGGAGCGGAATTGAGGAAAATTCCGATCGATCGAAGGAAAGAGGAAAGAGAGAAACGTAATAAGAAAGAGGACGAAGAGGACGAGGACGACAACGGCGGCAGCGACGACGATCACGACCACGACCACGACAACGACGACCACGACCACGACGAAGACGAGAAGGACGACGAGGAGGAGGAGGAGGTCGACGACGACGACGACGAAGACGAGAACGAGAACGAGGACGTCGAGGACGAAGACAACGACGACGACGACGACGACGACGACGACGACGACGAGGACGAGGACGAGGACGGAGGACGGTCGGTGGCGTGGGGGGTGGACATCCACGCGGGAACTCGAGGCAGGCGCACCCGGCCGGCACGCACACACATTCATTCTAAGATGTGATTTCAAAAATGGCGGATTGCCCCTATGCCCGTTGCATACAGGAACGCAGACACATCCGACGGGAGCTGCTGCGATGGACAAAGAATATGGTCTTCGTAGTCGGTGAGTTAAATTGCGACCAACGGTATCCAACTTGTGGGGTCGTATTACCAATCCGATTTCCCTTCCCTCCCTCCACTCACGGGATGGGAGATCACGCCAGTCTAATTTTTTTCCCCTTCCTTTTTTTTTTTTTTTCCTTCTTTCTTCGTTCAAATCCGAAACCGCGGAATACTGGGGGAGGGGGAGGGGGGGGATACGTTGGATACGTTCGACGTCTTTGCGAATACGCGATCCTCGGTTACGGAATACGTTGACTCGCGTTCCACATGGTGACTCTCGGAATGTGTCAAGGATATACGTGTATATATCTATATATATATATATAAATACGACGAGAGAGTCTCGAACGTCTATGTGTGTCGTGAGAGAGAGAGAGAGAGAGAGAGAGAGAGAGAGAGAGT